TTTCCCATCCGCAGCAGGCCCCATGGTTGGTGGAAGTTTATGGTCAGACAATTTGAGCTTTAAATTGATCAGAGTTCACCTGATATTAGTTGCCGCCGGTTAGCTGGGTGGTCAAGGCCCCCGAACACGTATAGCTCAGGGACTTATGAGAGTGGGGAGCGTAGCAGCAGCTGACGATTCTGGTTGGCAATACAATTGACTTTCGGGAGAGCAAGGCAGGCACTTTCGATTCAGACGGACCACCCATGGCGAAAGTGTTTCCCGCCAATGATTGGCAAGGGAAACATGTCCAACCGGCCTGCAGCGTTTCTGAGTCGTTGCCCTCGTGAGATGCACTCTCTCTCTAACCCCGCGACGTGTTAGAGTTCATCGGCTTGCGTGCTAAGACTGCCGATCTGCCATAAACTTGACATCACGCATTCCCGCCTCCCGACACACGCACCCTTCTGATCAACTCTGTCTGACACAGCAGATTTTCTCCTCTCGAGGTCCTGACTGCCAAATTAGAGTTTCTGCACCTCGTGTTCACGCGGCTGAAACAACATGGTCATCAACTCAGTACCGACGCTATTTCGCACCAGTCAAATTCTGTTTATCCAATTTCAACGTCGTATCATCCCATGTTTCTCCGTCCCTCACTGTTCATGACTTCGAATGTTACACAAAATCTTTACGGATCTTAAGTCGATGTTGCTGTAATGGTACGATTCTTCGGCGTTGCCTTTTTCCAACTAGACAAGGTTGCACGGCGAAAAACGTCCGTCCACTCGTGGGACTGTCTCCGTGGCAATGACTTCACCGGTGCGTGTCCCATCAACATAGAATCGATACCCGTACATTAATATGGAAAACGGCACACGGCTGCTGGATGTTACCAACAGAGACAGGACAAAAGATGGGCAAAGTGCGAATAAATGGGGCGTCCCGACGGGATCAAACTTGAAAACTACTATTCCCGAGTTAATGCGACGCACGCGTCGTCTCTTCCTTTAATGCGAGGGAATCCACCGTAAAAATTGGGTCACTGACAGACTCCTTTTTTTCTTCTTCTTTTTCTTTTGATATTCGAGAAATTCTGCCCATTCTGCAACAAACTCGCAGAAACCTGGAGATTACGGCACTTCGAAAATAGCGTCGGAAATCGAAGAAGCGGCCGAAGAAGAATTAAGGGGTCTAGACCTCTGGACTGCTTGCGGAGCAAAATTGAAATGGGACCACGATGCCACACGTGCCCCATGGGTAGCTGGCGACTTGTGTCCGATCCAGCTAGACCGGCCCCGTTTCTCAATCTCTTAGCATCGAGGTTCCGTAGAGGACCCCCTGTTCAACATCTCTATGCAGACTAGCTTTGCTAGAGGCCATGCACGTTCTAACTTGCGCAATCAACTGCCTGACCTATTCCTCGGTCACCACTCATGTCCGGAGAAAAGAAAGCCGTTGGCATTAGTCTAGAAGAAGTAAAAAGAGCGCAATCAGCTCGGTCATTTCTCACATTCGCGGCGTAGTTGGTGTTGGCAAGAAGGGGTGAAATGCCGCTTTGTTGGGGACTTGGCGATGCGGAGGACCGAAGAAAGAGCCGCAGGTCGTCGTCAGTTGCCCACTGCAAAAAGGCTTGAATTGTGGTTCAGGTGGGCAGCAACTTGGCGATCTCAACATCAGCAAACGAGAACGAGAAATCATCGGGCAGGGGTCTCTTGGTTGTCGAGCTGCCCACAGACGTTGACCGCCGCGTCCCGCGCGCGGAAGGGCATGGCTTCGGAATGAACCCGACAGACGAGGAGAGTCCGTTGCAGGGTTCTTCCCCCCCTTTACAAGTTCAGAGTGCCACTATCGATAAACCTGATTCGCGGAATCAATGGGTATTCTATTTCTTTCCGTACTATCCGTATACTCGCTCAGTCGCCAAAATTCCCATACCAGATCTCGTCGTCGGGCCGGACTCCTTTCTCGACACCAGGTAGACCGCACAACCCCTTTTCCTGCTCGCTCACTTTCCATTCACTCGCCGTCTCTACTCTAGCCGCAATCACCATCATCATGCCCGACTCAGCATGCCATGCATTATGACAGTGGAATGCCCACATGCCTGGGTTGTCCAGGACGACTCTAATGACTGCCCATCCGTATCCCTGGACGGTGACTGTGTCTCTTCTCAACGGGTTTGCCAGAACTCCAGAGGCGGTCAGCTCTTCGTCCAGCTCGGTGATATTCTCGGGGGGATATCCCGTGGGTGATTGCTTCAGCACGAAGAACTTGTGCCCGTGAAGGTGGAACGGGTGAGCGCCGTCGTCGAAATTGCTGATGACGATATCCACAGTCTCGATGCCCGTTGTCTGGTACACGAACTCCTTCTCCGGATCGAAAGCGACTTCGTTCACTCCCGTCATCTGAGGCAGGGCAGTTTCGTTCTCTGCCTGCGCCGTCTCCATGATGCGGTACAGCGTTGGCGACGTGACGTTACCATGCCACGTCGACTTGTTGAAGAAGCCACGAGACAGACGCCAGGCGCCGATTTCGAAGTTGGCACGCAGGTACATGGACGCTGTCGTCGCTGGTGCCGCTATGGCTTCGACAGGTTGAAGAGTGCTGGTATCCATGTCGCGGCAATCGACATCATGCGCTTCACCCCAACCTTTTGTTTGTGGCTTTTGGGCAATGGCGGCATCTTTCGACGTCTTGCTGTAGCTAATGATGCCTCTGACCTCAGGATCGAGCCACTGGTTCTCCTTGGAGAAGCAGTGTGTGACCATTCTGGCACGCATCCAGAAAGAGTCTGCAGTTGTCACGTTGGTGTCGATGACAACGCTGTAGCGCTGTGCAGGGAGAATGTTCAAACGATGAAATGATGCCGATTCAACTTGAGTACCGTCGACCTCGGTAACGTGGAATGGGTGCTCGTCAATTTCAACTTGGAATTCTGCAAACGCGCCGGTGTTGATGAAACGGAGGCGATGCTTTTGACCTGGAGTCAGATCGAACGAGGCCAAGGACTCCAGATTAGAAACCTTGTTCTCGCAACGCCAGCCGTCAAAGTCAGCGCAATTACGGTAGTTCTTCCCGTTGATGAGACCACTGGATGGCACAGGCTCATCGTTCTCCTGGTCCGGTTGGAGATAGTCCATGAGCAGCTCGGCCGAAGTATTGTGATAATGATCCTGGATCATGATCACGCGGTCACTCGCGTACGTGGCTGCTTCCTTCTTCTCATTCCGAGAGTGCACGACCATTGGACCGACCAATCCATCCGAGGACTGGGCGCTGTGGTGCGCATGATACCAATAGGTCCCCGACTGTCCGTCGACGGTAAACTGGTAGGTGAAGGTTGCGGTGGGGGCGATTGGGCATTGTGTGACGCTGACAGTGCCATCCATGGAGTTTGTGCCATTTTGGAACATGCCGTGGAAGTGGATGGCAGTGGCGTTGACTGCCTCATTAAGGACATGAACGATTATGGTGTCTCCCTCGTTGCACTCGACAAGCGGTCCAGGGAATTGATTGTTGATCAGAGTCATTGGTCGGAAGATGCCATCTGGGTTGAAGATTGCGTCTCGAATAGTCCAGTGATACTCTCTGACGCTCTTTGCCGATGCGTAGTCCCATGATGAGCTGAGAACATACTCTGATGAGTCCCTGAGACGTGGGGTTGGAGTAATCTGTTCATCGATGGTGTGTGTTGGTGTCGCTCCATCAAGACGGGGAGCACCCGGCAAAAAGCGATCGAAGACGAAGAAGACCAGAAAGAAAACGAAGACACCAAAAAGATTTGCGACAGCGGATGCCGTGGCCTTCCATGACGAGCCTTGCCGATATCGTCTGCGATATCCTATCTCGTTACTGTCGTCGTCGTGGGTGAGGAAAGGCGACTTCTCCGTGCCATCTTCTCTGCTTGAGCTTGAGAGCGAGACATTTCGGCGGTAGCCATCGTCGCTCTCCGAAGACAAGGAGCTTGGACTCGACGGCCTATCTTGCCCACTCTGTCGCTCAACGTCCATGGCGTGCATCACATCCCATCGTCGTGGGCGTCGTCAAAATGGGGTTGTAGGGAAGATGTTAGAAGTAGCCGAACGACGCCACATGCTGACTTGCCTCCAGAGGAAGGTAGCAGCAGATGGCAGCTGGAGAGGCGAATTGCATGCATGCTACCCCGTGCGGGTGAATCGGCATCTTAGCGCCAACACGTGCCCAAAACAGAAGTGACTGATGGCTGGATGCTGGCTGGACCTTGACGAATGCACCTATTATTGGACGCTGACAGAGACAAAGAGGGGCAGCGATTCCGCAAACGCATATTGGGGTAAATACAAAATACTTAGCAGCGACCACCGCGTTCTTGGTGCAGAAACAGCCAAACAATCATGCGCGCTGTAGTATCATGTATGTAGTCTGGCCAGCAGAAAACGAAAGCGTTCCGTCTTGCAATGATCCTGTAGTCATGCAAAGGCATAACAAGTGTCGTTATTTGCCAATAATGGCCGCGCCTTAGAAGTCAACCGCACAATCGCACGAGATCTTGAAACAGACGGGTTGCAAAGAATATTTGGATCCTTTGATCTATGCTAAAATTACTCATTTGATATTATCATTCGGCGCGACAAAAACCTGTGTGCCGAAGATGGCTCCGAACCCAACACATGGATGTCCGGCCAGCTGTGGCGGCGTCGGGCGCCGAGCCTATCCACCTTTACGGCCCCGAGAGACCTCCACAGTGAAGCAGCACAGACAACGCACATGCCGCCCGGCGAAGGCAAAACGTCCTTCCAACAACACAACAATATTGTCCAATATTGTCCGACGCGAAACGTCTTCTCGCCATTTCAACGGGCAACGGCAAATACTCTGCAAGGTCACGTTGGGCCTCGACACAAATCCCTTCCGACTTTTCAGCCATTGATTCCACGAGACCGCGACCTCTCTGCGGTCAATTGCGCGACCTCCAGCAACGCTCTCACATCGCCCCCTTGACCATTACCTCGGGGCAAACGCACCCAAATCCCGACAAAATGTCATTCGCCGCGCCGATTTCGAGTCATCCTAAGAAAGCAACCGTCAAAGCCCGAAACATTTCGAATGATCAACCGACATCGAGTATCTTTCAAGGACTACAGTGCATTCTCTGCTTCGGCCGCAGTTTGTTCGCAGAATGGATCGTCTACATCTTGGTCTACCACTCGATAAGCGCAATCGTCACGTTCTTTCTGTTCCTACCCCTCGACTTGACTTGTGCAGTCGTTTCTGGAGATTGGGATCGCGGCTATTTCATCCGCTTGCACATCTTCCTCTTCGTCTTTCCTACCGGCAACTTCGCATTGGAAGCATTCCCACTCGGAACCCGAATACTCCTTACGGGCTTATGGATACTTTCCGTGCGCCCTTCGCTGGCTCTTGCCGGGTGGATTGTCAACAAGCGTCTTCCGGCCTACACTCTGCCTTCGGAAAATTACCCCCCGATTCGGTGGGGCTTTGAATACATCTGTTGCGTCGTCAATCAGCATCATCTCTTGGTCCCGGACCTAGAGTTTTATGCTCGTCAAGCCATACGTTTCATCGGCATACGGGTCTCGTCGGACTCTTATCAACTGGGCACCATATCAGAAGATGAGCTCGACGAACTTCGAGACTTTTCAAACATCTTCCACACCGTGATGGAGCAGTACTCAGCAAAAGGTTGGCCGCAATTGCCTATCCCCGCGAATAAGCAAGGGGAGGCAGCGCATTGCATTTGTGCAGACAGGGTTTTGAGTCAGGTAGAGGGAGGCATACTATCATCGAGGTCATTGATGACGCAAGTAAGATGGGAGATTCCTTTTTTCTGGAGAATGTATGTTTTTGTTTTGGTGTACTGGATGTTCAGGGGGCTGGGTGAAATCAACGCATTGATTTGGCCTTATACTGAAAAAGGTACCTCCTGCGTCAAGGAGTGGTACGAGAACTACGCGGATCCAAATTACGAGGCTCGTCGATAAAGTCATGCCGTCTCTGAAAACATTCCGAGTCTGAGAAGGAATCTGGGATCAATCGTTTCACAAGCCATTCATTTTTTCTTAAAGAGAATCAATATCAATTCAATCAACAAGAGCGCTTTGCTTTGATTTCATGATTCTGGTGCTATCTGAACATCTTCTCATAATCCCAAGTGTTCTATGATTTTCTGATGCAAGTGCCGATGCTGAACACCACTCACAAGCCATGTTCCCAACCAGAATAATAATAGGAAAGTCATCCAGACGTTTTCCAAGGTCACAGATCTACCAAGTTCGAGACGAGAACAACAGGTTGGATTTGATAGCTTCATATGGATGATGAAATCATGTTCGTAATTGTGTGTTGTCGAGGTGGCAGGTAATGCTGCACGGCTGACGCCGTTGCCATAAAGCGTTTCCTGAACAGTGTCTCTTGAGATGCTGAATTTGTCGCGGTGCAATAACTTCAGGCTCCCAAGCTGGTCCTGGACGAGGAGAGACCATGTGCAGACTCTAGTCATGCTTCGTGATGGAGAAATGCATATCGATTGGCAGGGAGGCGTCGTAGAGTCGGTAGAATAGTAGGGACGACGGAAAAGTTGAAATGCTACGAATCAGTCAGTAAGTTTACAACCCTCAAGGTCGGCGTTTTGGATCTTACCGTGTAGATGTTGTTTGCCAGCCAACTGATGCCACCACGACACTCGAGTGCAAGTCGATGGGGCTCTGAGTACGCTGAAGAGCTTTCGCGGTGGCTGACTGAGCGAGTTGAACCTGATGGGTGCCAGTTCGCGGTCGAAGCTGCCCTAAAAAGTGAACCTGTGTCGGAAGCATCGGCTTTGGGTTTGTTAGCATGATATCCTCAACACAAAGAAAGATCTGACCTGAACCTTACTCACATTCATATGTTCTGCAAGTCAGTCGCCGGTCTGATGGTATCAGGCACAGTGGCTGACAGTTGCGTCTGAAATTGGCCATCGCCAACCTCGGCTGAGACGATTTGTGCCACGGAAACAGACTCGAGGACGCCCAGTCGATGTATCAGGGAAGGATACGGCCTGCAAGGTATATTCGATGTTCGAGAGCTTGTGGTTCAACGATGGGCCAGAAACGTGAAGACTGAAGATCTGCGTGATCCGTGACAGTTAGCATTGAAGTGCACGGAGTCAGCCGTTCCACTCACCGCATTCATCTGGCGATGGTCTTGGGGTTTGGCCATGGGTCGGAAACCTGGAGATCTGCAAAGTCCATGTCAGTTCTTTGAAATGCAAGGAGTTCGACGTTCCACTTACCGCATTCATCAAGCCATCTGGCGATGATTTTGGGACCTTTTGGCCCTTTTTTGGGGTTTTTTTTTTTTTTTCCTTTACCCGCCCTCCCCCCTTTTTTTTTTGGTTTTTTTGGATTTTCAATTTTTTTTTTTTTTTTTGTTAGTTTTTTGAGGGGCGGAAATGACTGACCGGAATTTGACGCATCCCTCCCTGTCTGTTTTCTGCGCGAGTACACTTGTCACCAAAGTACCTTACTTCGGGGATGATCAACCTCGTGAGGACCGAGGTGTTCTACTCCACAGACCCAGACAGGTGTGCTTCATCGATCATCGAACTCGACGCTCGTCCCGGGAGCTGCGTGACCGCCACATTTGTATTGGCCACGCGGCCACACCGGTTAAGCATTCGATGACCTGCCCTTCTTCGTAACCATGTGCCGGTCGACCAAGATCGTTAAGGTAAACACGCATCATCAGCATCATCAGCTCCAGGGCCACGCCAACACAAGAGATGAACAGGCCAACGCAAACGTGGAAGCCGACCCAGGAAGCCAATGAGCCTAGCGTTGGTTCCCCCAGCGCGACCAAGAATCGAACCCCTGTGACAGGTAAGGCGAGCATGGGACCAGAACAGAGGAGACCAACAGTGCCGGAGGCGGCGCGAATTGACGTTGGAAAGGGTACCGAAGGCATGTTGGTGACTATTGAGTCTAGGATGCGTGAGGAGAAAAGGAAGACGTTGGCATCGGCGGCCATCGCGAGAGAGTTGTTGCTACGCAGCCGGACCTACCGTTCCTGCCTCTCTGTTCCTGGCTCCTTCCCTAGGAAGCTATTTTACTTCGCAGTTTCCTTCATCTAGGCAGGCACTTGCTAAGGTAAGGTAGTTTGTGACAATTCTAGCAGCTCAAGAAAGGCAAGACCGCAGACGTGCGTTGTCGGGTCATTGCCCAGAAAACTCGTACCTTCCCGAGCTTTGCTCCCGCAGCTCGACGTCCCGGACCAGAAGGGTAACACCACCTACAACCGGTGCACCTTGGGCAGTGCTGGTCAGGAAAGCACTTGCCTCCTCCATCAGTTCAATAGATAGAACAGCGGCCAAGGCGAACAAGACGACGACGGCGAAGATAACAGTGGTCCGCCAGTCGCTAAACGAAAAGAGCAACAGCAGGACCCGAACCTAGCGGTTCTTACCTAGGCCCCTGGAGCCCAGGAAACACTTGCCTCGTAGTTCTCGATTTCGTGGTAGTTTTCAAATCACAATAATACTGCTGGCTGCAATATCATTTTCTCTCCCTCTTCTTCTCAAGCGCCATTCCTAAGTGAACTTCGGCACAGAGCTGAAATAATCAGCCCAACAGTGTTCCCGGTGAGTTCTCAAATCTGCAAGAGAGCGTCTGCATGTTCTACTTCCATGCGACCATGCCTCTTGATTAACAAATTTGAGTTCCAACCGCTAATGACTTAAGTGAAGTTGAAGCAACCTCCAACGGGTGACGGGACGATGCCCGATTATGTAATTCAAGCCTGCTCTGCGGAATGCGACCAAATTAGCCCACAAAAGTCGGAAAGCGAAATGCGTCTTAAACACCACGTGGGTGGGCGTCGATATCAATTGGCCCAGCCCCAACACAAAGAACGGGAAGACAGCGCATCCAGCGAGCGAATGAGAAACAAGACAATTCCGCATGTCAAATCCTTTTGTACATGCTGCACAGGTACCTCATCTAAGGTACTGCACAGTCGTTTCCCCCCGCTCGCGCCCCGCCCCGCCAACTCCGAGCGACGCTACCCCCGAACGGCAGCTGAAGGACTTGGCCCCCTGCGCCTGGACCTGGATGGCAGCATGTCACTCTTCAAAGACGGTGGCTCATTGTTGGGAGGGACACCTGCCGGGTTCCCGAGAGCGGCAATGGCCGCCGTCCGACCAACATTGATTTAATATCTAGCGTCGCAGCCCGTGATTCTTTCTCGATCTTCGACATGTCGCTCGCCCGCCACGCGCTGCTCTCAAGCCTCTCGCTCGTTTGAAGGCTTCCCTCTCCTCCGATCCTGACATCTTGCGCGATCGATCCCAAAGATGCGTTGCACCTCCGTTTCGGCCGTGCTCTTCGCGGCTGGCGCCTCTGCTGCCGCTGTCAAGGCAAAGGCCGCATCCAGCACTGTCGGTTGGGAGACGGCCTACACAGCGACCGGCACTGCTGCGGTCTACGCCGCGGCCGCGACAGCCAAGACGAGCAGCCCGACCAGCAAGGTCAAGGGCAAGGCCTTTGATCGCTTCGTCGTCATCTGGAACGAGAACACCGACTATGAGAAGGCCGCTGGTGATCGTGAGTTATCTCCCGTTCATACCCAATGACGCAGTTTCTAACATGTCGCAGCCAACCTGGCGTGGCTCGCCTCCAAGGGCATCCTCCTGGAGAACAACTTCGCCGTCACGCACCCCTCGGAGCCCAACTACTTCGCCTCCGTCTGCGGCGACTACCTCGGCATGCAAAACGACGACTTCAACCGCGCCGACCGCAACGTCTCGACGGTCTTCGACCTGCTCGACACCAAGGGCATCTCCTGGGCCTCGTACCAGGAGGACATGCCCTTCTCCGGCTTCGAGGGCATGGCCTGGGTGAACCGCCAGAACGGCGCCAACGACTACGTCCGCAAGCACAACCCGCCCATCTTCTTCGACAGCGTCACCCGCTCCGAGCAGCGCCTGTCGCAGATCAAGAACATCTCCATGACCAACACCGCCGCCTCCATGTTCCACCGCGACCTCAAGGACAACAAGCTGCCGCAGTGGATGTTCATCACGCCCAACATGACCTCCGACGGCCACGACACCTCCGTCACCGTCGCCGGCAAGTGGACGCGCAACTTCCTCGAGCCGCTGCTCAACGACAAGAACTTCATGAGCAACACGCTCGTGCTCGTCACCTTCGACGAGAACGAGACGTACACGCACCAGAACCGCATCATGGGCATCCTGCTCGGCGACGCGGTGCCCGCGGACAAGGTCGGCTCCAAGGACGCCAACTTCTACAACCACTACTCGGAGCTCGCGACCGTGCAGGCCAACTGGGACCTGCCCACGCTCGGCCGCTGGGACGTCGGCGCCAACGTGTTCCAGGTCGTCGCCGACAAGACCAAGAGCGTCATCCGCCAGTGGAGCGACGCGTCCAAGACGCCCGATCGCTTCTACAACCAGTCCTACGCCGGCTTCTTCAACACTAAGGCGCCGAAGCGGTACCCCAAGCCCAACCTGGCCCTGGACAAGAACGCTGCCGGACGTAAGATTCTCGACATCGTGAAGAAGACGTGGGAGAAGAGCTGCGCGCCTACGTACTACGAGGACACCATCCACGTGCCCGATGGCCTCAACCCGCCCGCCGGATACGCGGCCTAATAGCATAATGTCTTTTGGCTTCGGTCATTGTAAATATCGTAGTCGTCAATAATGCATAGACAGTAGACTTTCTGGTCGCAAACACCACCGCGTCCCCTCATTTGCCCCCCTCAGTTGACATGCGAACCGTGACGGGCAAACATGCAAGCTCGCAGCAAGTGACCCCGGTGATCGGCCCCATCCCGGCCTCGCACAACAAACAACCAGCCAACCAGCCGCTCGCACGAGTCTTTTCCTCCGAGGGTTGCAGACTGAAATGTCGTGTGATGTCGTCGACCTGCCCCACGAGGGAAGGCACTTCATGCCCGGCGAAGAGAGCAAGGGATCAATCCAAGTAGAGAGCTGAGGTGATCTTCCCCTCCCTGCCCCCCATCCATGCATCATCCCGGTCGCCAGATTACCCTGTCAGGAAGGTGGGAAATCAGAAATGCTTGATTGGACGAGTGACAGGGGACCTTTTCCCCCGAAGCCCACCCACGTGGGTGGTTCTTGGCATCGCTGCTGGGCGAAAGCTTGGCCCTCTTGCTTTCCCATGAATCCATGAAGGTGTTTCTTCTCCGCAGATACATTTGTAGAGGGACACTAGCGATTTTCTGTCGGTCCACCGCAAAGAAACTTTGCTTCGCCTCGCGGCATCGCATACCCGGATTGCTGATGTCGGGTCTGCCGTTTCCTCCCCGATCGCTCACCGAGGAGCCACTAGGAGGGCTAAATTTAGGGTGAAAGAGATACCTACGGTGTTGGTAGACATTTAGTGGTGAGGGGTACGGTCCAGAACAGTGAAGGCGGCAGACCTGTTTCTTCGGCGTCTCCATCCGATCGCCAAGATTCAGTCTTTTTTTCCAAATCACTCCTTGTCGAGACCCGTCTCCCGCGTTCTTTGACACCTCCTTGGCATACTGGGCATTTTGACGACTTCCGCAGTGCTCATCCACCCTCCATCGTCTTCGTCAGAACAGCACGGCAATCATGTCCCATGGCCCATGAACAAGTCGACTTCTCGTTCATCATCTTCCCGTCCTTGAATCCTCAACCAAAGAGTCAGAACCTCACAAGACACACAAAATGGCGTCTCAAAACCTCGCCCGCTTCCTCTCAGACTTCACCCTCGGCTTCTCAGATGGCCTCACCGTCCCGTTCGCCTTGACGGCCGGCCTCAGCTCCCTCGGCCGCAGCGAGACGGTCATCTACGCCGGGCTCGCGGAGCTGTGCGCGGGATGCATCAGCATGGGCATCGGCGGGTACCTGGCCGCCCGCGACGCCTCGCGCGAAACGCGGCGGTCGGGTTTGTCGCCGGAGGAGGAGGAGGAGCAGGGCATGCTGCTCGCGGAACGCCGCAGTGAGGAAGACCTCGACGGAAACGAAGAAAAGGGCCGTCCGAGGAGGGTGGAGGAGGCTGAGGACGATGTGCGGAGGTATCTTCAGCCCCTCAACCTATCGGACTCGACCATCGCGACGGTGCTTGAGGCAATCAACTCGCAACCGGAAGGCTCAAGATGGGCATCCAAGAGGATACGAAGTTCGCAATCATCTCTCGCCAGCGACACACCTACCGCCGAACAAAATTGTTCGATGATATCGCCCGTGTTCTCGGGCATGTCAATCTCCCTGGGCTACCTGTGCGGCGGCCTCATGCCTCTGCTGCCCTACTTCATCGCGCCGAGCGTGGGGCAGGGTCTGAGGTGGAGCATCGCCATCTGCCTCGTCGCCTTGTTGGCCTTTGGCGCGGGCAAGAGCTGGGCTCTGGGGACGAGGGACGGGTCGTTGAGGCGGTGTCTATGGGAGGGTGTGCAGATGGCCTTCTTCGGTTCCTGCGCGGCTGGGGCGGCTGTTTTATGCGTGATGCTGGTGAATGAGCGAGTGAGTTGAGGGGCCACAGATGATACCTAGTAAATGATACCATGTCTTCTTCCAAAGCCTGCGGAGTCTTGTGATTACTCATTATTCATTAGTAGACAAACTCCTACGCGCTCATCGTGAGTAGATGTCGTCGTCGCCTCGACTCAGTACCGATTGATGAGTAATGATATCGCCTTGAAGGACGTTTGTTTTCCCACATCTCGCCCGTTGAAGAATTACTTAAGCTATTTCAGAGTGCAGGTCGGGCGTTGAGTCGCGCTAGGTGTGGATTAGGTCTGGTCTTGGCGATTAGTGAACACAGGTTCCCGCCTCGGGCCACGAGTGATCAGTAAACTGTCTGGCATGATTAAGCGGGTCAATGAAAGACGACATGATATCTTACAAATCAGTCAAAACAAAACGACGCAGCAGTGTGCAAGAGCATGATTGAGAGGGTGGTGAAGTTCATCTTGACTCTTAAGTGCGTGACTGGCGTGGTTCGTTCGAAGGTGGTAAGTTTGAGCACAACGTTTGAAGTTAATTGCAGCCACAGGCTCTGTGAAGAGGTGGATGGGTTACCAGGGGTGCTTAGCGCGGAGCTTGTGAACCACAGTCTATGCCACGAACCAAAACCTCGTACACAATTATGTGCGGGATGTTACTATGACCCGAGGATGAACAAGTCAATTTCATCCAGCTATGTTAGAAATTTCGTGATATATAGTTGATGCTGTCTTTTGGATTTCGTTGTCCAAGACGAGGAATCTTGGTCCTTCCAAAGTTCATCAATCAGGAATCGACGTGACGTTCACAGGGCAAACCCACATGGCCACGCTTCGGAACCGCCACGAGCACGAAGTTTTCATATCCTCTTAGCGAGTAGCATTATGCATTTCAGTTGATAGCCAACTAGCTTTGGAAACGAGTGTGGCGAATACGCGGAGTTTAGTCAATGCACGCCTGGCCTTTGGTCTAAGCCGTGTTCCTGTTGATTAATGATCATTGCCTCTCCCTCTCAGCTGCCCGCACCTTGATTCAAACTCCGCCTAGACCCGCTCCGAAACAGAATTGATGGCATTACGCCAGATTATCAATCTTCTCCGCTACTATCTTCGGCGCCGAGAGAAGTGCGCCATGTCTTCTTGCGTAGTGGAAGAGTCTCGTGTAAGTGTGGAAGCTTCCATGATGGTGCTTCGATTGCAAATACCAAGGCGACCATAACAACTTCAAGATGTATATAAGATTCCGACCTAGACATCACTTCAGACGAAAGACACTTCCATCAACACATCAAAGTCCATCTCAACCTCAGCCTTACACTTTCCAAGCATCCCACCAACAAACAAACAACACCCACCATGTCCGCCAACCAAACCTATCTCATCACCGGCGCCAACCGTGGCATCGGCAAGGGCTTCGTCACCACCCTCCTCGCCCGCCCCTCTATCACCGTCATAGCCGGCGTCCGCGACCCCTCCGCGTCCTCCTCCAAAGCCCTCGCCTCCCTCCCCAAGGGCGCCTCCTCCACCCTCATCCTCGTCAAGATCGACTCCTCCGTCGACTCCGACCCCGCCGCCGCCATCGCCGCCGTCCAGGAAGAGCACAACATCACCACCATCGACACCGTCATCGCCAACGCCGGCATCTCACACACCTCCGGCCCCGTGCGCGACACCGCCTCCGCGCCCGCTCTGGACCACTTCCGCGTGAACTCCATCGCCCCCCTCCTCCTCTTCGCCGCCGCCGCCCCGCTGCTGCGCAAGAGCGCCAACCCCGTCTTCGTGGCGATCTCCTCGGCGATCGGCAGCGTCGGCCTGCAGGAGAGCCTGGCGAAGCTGTTCCCGCCGGGCGTGGGGCTGAGCCCGTACGGCGCGAGCAAGGCGACGCTGAACTGGCTGGTGAAGCGGCTGAGCGTGGAGGAGGAGTGGGTGACGGCGTTTGTGTTCCACCCGGGCTTGGTGGAGACGGATATGTCGGCGGCGCTGGCGGAGAAGAATGGGGTGGCGGATGCGAAGAGTTTGGGGGCGATTACGGTCGAGACGAGCGTGGGCGGGATGGTGAAGGTGATTGATGGGGCGACGAAGGAGGTTAGTGGCAAGTTTAAGAATTATGATGGGACTGATTTGCCGTGGTAGAGGGTGCTTTGGGTACCTCTATGAAAGTTTGCATAGGACTTTGGTTGGTGTAGAACATGGTTGATGGTAGTCAAGATGTAGATACATGACATAATGTTTCCGTACGTTTGGGTGAACACACTCGGTGAATACTCGTGGCGTGGACTAAGCATCGAGTCTTTTACACAATACTGCTTCGTTATTATTAAAGCCGAATTATATACATGAAAATTGTGCAGCTCGTTTATATAAAACTAGTGTCCCTCCAGCGCGGCTGCGCTAGGTGGTGAGCCGCTTAAAAGGCACGCCTTGTCTTGTTCTTGCCGGTGTAGAACTCCTCGGTCCACGTCTTCAGCTGCTCAATCTCAGAAGTGATGACAGCCTTCATGTCGGCGTTGACGTCGCCGTTCCTCATGAGCAAGTCGTTGCAGTGGCGGGAGCCGGGGATGAGGTGGACCGGCGTGCCAGGGCGGGACTGAAGCGGGCCGCCTGGACGGAGCTCGCTGGATACGGAGGCAGAGCGCCAGGGGTCGAATTCGCTGCGACGGAGTTAGCCAGAATCATGGCGGACAGAAAGGGCTCGGCTTACCCGTTCGACCACACCAGGCGAGTGGTGTTGGTGTAGAACCAGCCGTCCGTCGCCTTGTTCAGGTCGGCGGCGGTCTTGCCGCGGTTCGAGGCGTAGGTGAAGTCTTCTTGCGGGGGGAAGAAGAGGTCGCACTGGCGCTGGTAATACTCGGGGGTGACGTAGCGGGAGACGATGGAGGATCGGTCCTCAGGGGCACCTCTGGGATTGGATCAGTAACGATAGACACCGTGGAGCAAAGACACATTGCAAATACTTACGTCTGCCAGAAGAAGAAGGGCTCGTTGCAGGTCATCCAGTACCAGGTGCGGCCGAAGGCGTTGTCGGCAGACCAGTCGGTGTAGATGGGGCTGGTGGCGTTGTACGAGTCGAAGCAGGCAACGTTCATAGGGTCCGACCACTCTTCGACGCCGTATGATGCGCAAGCTGTAATTCGGTTAGACGGATTCGCCGACTGAGGTTTGGGGTGTACTTACTGCCTGGGAGATACTCAGAGCTCCACCACTTGGCGTAGTTGTCGAGCGCCTTGGTAAGGCCGACGCCGTTCGCGCTGGGCGCTGAGAAGTTGCCGGTGGCGCCCTCGACCGCATCGCACATGGCGTAGAAGGTGGAGTAGCCAGAGTACAGCTGAATGGACTGCCAGTATCCGAGAGGACCGACGAGAGCACTGTGGGATGTCAGCTTTCGCCTTTCTCTAGAGCATTTCGAGTGCCATCGTACCTCGCAAAGTCGTCCTTGTGAGCGAGATCCTGCAGACCGAACTTCTCCTTGAGCGAGTGAATCTCGTCCTCGGTGCCGGAGGTCAGGACGGTGTCGATGTGGTCGACCATGAGGTTGAAGTCGCGGCTGCAGTTCTGGGGCATGCCATTCTGGATCGGGAGGAAGTAGCTCCAGTAGTCGTATGTCGCCTCGACGGGTCCGCTGCTGGCGTGGTAGGCCCAGATGGTCCCCGGGGCGTACTTGGAGATGGCGGCGGCGAGGATGCCGGAGTACGATCCACCGGTGTAGATCCAAGGCTAAAGCCGCATGTCAGAACAGGATCCTCTCGGACTGGGCGATAGACTTACAGCCTGGGGAGCATTGCTGCTGTGGTTGGTGTCGAAGGGCAGGTCGACTGTGCGGGCCAGGTTGGTGAGGTCGAAGACGGCGTTCGTCATGGTGTGCTGCTGGAGGTTCTTGGTGTCTTGGAGGGCGTACGGCAGAGAGGTGCCCCAGTTACGGTCTGCTCTGTGTCAGTCTGGCCAACCTCGAAGTCTGTGTCGAGAAATGGGGAGACATACGCTCGACCATCACAACGGCACCGCCAACAGCCTTGGCAATGCTGCCCGTGAGCGCGCGGTCTGTCAGATATCCACTGTAAGCCTCAGCAGCAACTTCGCCGGGCGTGAAGACGATGATCTACATATTGTCAGCTAATGCGCGTCTTCGCGTGCTCAGGAGCAGCTCTTACCGGCGAGCCGGGGCCCTTCCAGTAGGTGCTGTTGACCCAGTACCGCTGCTGGAAGGTTCCCAATTCAGGAGCATCATGATCGATAAGCTGCTCAAAGTACAGAGCGTCACGCTTGACGAGTCCACCCTCGTCGTCCTCGGCCCTGAAGGGCGGCTGGATGGGCTGGAAGGCGAAATGGGCCTGAGCCGCCGTGAGGCAGCTCAACAAGGCGAGGGAGATCTTCATGGTGACAGAGACACTACTACGGTGGCCAGGAACGAACGAGTACACACCACGGCACGCCTATTTTGCGACTCGATCAACACAAAGGACGAGGTATCGCGGGAACAGCGGCGGGGGGGCTGCCATCTTTAAAGAGTCGCACAACATCTGGGTAAGCAGCAGACCCATCCATCACCCCGGCGAAATGAGTCCCGATATGCAAGAACCATGCATTCAGTCGCCAAACATCGCACCGCACGCGTCCCGTGTTGCGACCCTCGGCAGGAACAAGCTTTCCAAGCTCTCTGGGCCCCGTCGACGGGAAGAGGGGACGCCCAGCCCGATGCGATCCCGGCCGCCCATCGCGCACGCACGGATTGTCGTGATTGTAACGTTGAGGACAGAGGCCGGGGTTGGCCTCGGCCAGGCATGGAGACGGGGGTGGTTCCTGATAGGCATTTGAGAATGGATGGCAACGTTGGACTCTGGAGAGATTTGGCGTGGGATTTTGCGTGGGCCGATAGGTTAGCTCGAAGCGGAAGGTGAGCATTCGACGCTGCGGTGTGGCCCCAGGTCGGGTGGACACGCGCCGGCAGTCCGGCAGGGACTTCTGTCTCCGGTCTGTGGTCCGACCTGCGCCAACGGGAAGGTGGTTCGGATCGGCCATGTTGCTGGGAGTTTTAGTCAGAGTGTGAGGGAGTTTGGGTCGGAACTTTTGTTCTGGACTGTGAGCCCAAAGGAGTTGGTTGAAAGAGTCGAGACACAACAGCACGTTTAAATAACGTAATTGTCCAAGTGGTAAGAGGGAGGGATTTGATTGCGGGATACGAGAATCATTTGCAAATCTATCAGGTGGGCTTATCTGAGGCTTCTGGTCGCCTACTAGACACAACCTAGATACGAGTCGTACGCTGTTCGAGGTAGTCTTCAGCATGGCCTCCAAGTCTTCAGTCAATAGCTGCTTCAAAGCAAGTTGAGAAAAGGAAGACGTAGCCTTACACCAGCTTGAAGAATGTAACTTTGAATACACTTGTATTCGAGAGAGCATCATGAGAAACGCGCTCTGAAGAGCTTCGGTGTAGCGGTTCCTACACTTCTCAGGCCTGTTAGGGTGCTTATTTCCGGGTAACATCTTCTAGACGCGGGGAATGCCTAACTGGCGATGTGCCGCGTGAGCAGCAGCCAACTGCCAGAACAGAACCCTTCAAAGTGAAGCAGAACCTCCAGATGAGCAGAAAGCCCAACTGAGGCTCACCGCATGTACTTGACTGATTTCCTAATTCAGAGAGGCATTGAAGTTGAATAGAGTAACTGGAGGCTAAACTTTGTGGCCTACCCGGCCTGTGCACTGAAAGTCAGTGAAGGCACCCCGGAACCGCCAAATTGGCCAATCACGACGCCCAAAACGTAAGCAGTCGCTCAGCAGCCTGACAATTGAGGCCGAAAGGGAACCGTCACGGGCAGCTCCACAATCCAATCCAAAGCTCCGACGACAATTCAAGACCGATTGACCAACGACGACCGAACAATTCGCCCATCACAGAACCCCCAATTGCCGTCACAATGGCCGGAGACTTCGAACCCAGGGGTCCGTTCCTCCGCCATCATGCTACACACTGCGCAGACATGCTGACCTTTCTCTGCAGAGACGCCCCGCGAGGAGATGCGGGACGCCAAACTCCCCCTCGCCTACCGCGACAGCTGCGCCCACCTCCTGATCCCCCTCAACCGCTGCCGCACCGACACCTTCTACCTGCCGTGGAAGTGCAATGTTCGTTTTACCCCGAGATGTCATCATTCCCGGCGCTGCTCGACCCCGGCCTCGAGAGGCTACCCGACGGATCGAACCCTCTGCTAACCTCTGACACCCCACGGCTAGGACGAGCGCCACAGCTACGAGAAGTGCCAGTACGTCGAGTTCAAGAAGCGCGTCGCCAAGATGAACGAGCTCCGCGCGGAGAAGGGAACGAGAAGCAACTGAGGGGTCCGACAAAGACAGCCCTGGGCGGCCGCGTCTGTGTATATAACCTGTGACATTGGAGGGCCACGGCAAAAGGGTCGAAAATGGGGACTTGGTCTTGCCGCAAGGGTCATAGCACGAGGCCGAATTCACGTTATTGCGAATGACAACTGCGTTTGTTTCGACTTGGACAGACCGCGACGAACAATGACCTAGCATGGGTACTGTTAGGCATTGCGGGTGGAGGAGCGGAAACGACTGGAGTTCGGCCCTCGGTGGCTTCATTAGGCGAACTTTGGAACACATCGTGAGGTTACTGCTGGCTGTCACAGAGACAGCCGGCTCGTTCCGCTCCGGTTCGTTGATATTCAGGACAGGACCTAGGAAAGTTTCTATACTACAAATCCACAAACAGCTGAAAGCTGGCCAAAGACTAGCGACAAGACATTATATTTCATTAACGTTAAGTTGACAATGCTAAGTAGGTTCTATGAGTACAGCCAACATGACAATGCTCCTCCTCAATTATGCGCCTTTGTACGATGCAAATAGCCAAGCAACCGCTTCTTCAGCACAACGCCCACCACATTCGCTGTTTCTGGTTCAAGAATAACCAGGTAACTCAGACCGAGCTTCCCAAACATCTCAAGGACATGCTCCATCGGCGCCTCGGCGCTCACTGTCAACGGTGTCCGGTCGACCAAGTCCATCATGATCCCCGACCGCAGATCAATCTCCTCAGCCTCCCCGCGGACTTGGAGAACAGCCTCCAACTCCGCCTGAGGCAGGTACCCAAACAGCAGTCCCGCCTCATTCACCAGCAC